GAATTCCATCGTTTAATCCCACAAAACCCTATTTTTGCCATTTTAGGAAAAAATTCAGAAATTAATAATAAATCATAAGAGTTTCTGAATTCAATGCTATTAGTTTTGTTAGACTCTAGACGAAACGTGCTATTATGTTAATAAGTTAGATTACAATTTTTTTTCCTTAACTTTCATATAATTAGAGATTTTGCCTCTATTATGGAGACGAGTAGGGTTTTGAACATTTATATTATACTGGTTATTGTCTGTGCCTAAAGGCACAAAGTAATAAAAAATTATAAACAATAAATATATTTGTATTCATATCCAAAATTAAATCACAAATATAGAGGAGAAATAATGAATTTAAGCATTGATTGTAGTGGAGGTGAGAAGTGGTGGGCGACAATGGTAGTGGTAGGAGACAGTGATAGTTGTGGTGGGTGACAATAATCGTGGTAGCGGCAATGGCGATGACAGCGATGGTGGCAGTGGCGGTGGCGACAGTGGCAGTGGTGACAACGACGGTGGTGGTGGTGGTGGCGACGACAGTGATGATGGCGATGGTGGTGATAGAGGTAGTAGTGGTGATGATAGAGGTAGTGGTGAGACGATTTCAACACAATTTATTTTTTAAAGTACTTATAAAAAATAATTAGTAAAAATACTTTTAAAAAATCACTTCAAACATACCCTTAGGAGCCTATTTTTCCTATTAAATTTAGGGTGTTAATATTAGCTGTTAAATTAACTTTAAAGTAAAATTTAAAGCGATCTGAATCGTGAAAAATAAAAGTCATTTTGTTTGTCTTTTGAGATTTAAATTGTAAGCTACTTTATTATATAGATATATATAAAATAGCTTACAATTCAAATCTCAAAAGACAAACAAAATGATTTTTCGCGATTTGGATCGCTTTAAATTTTACTTTAAAGTTAATTTAACAGCTAATATTAACATCCTAAATTTAATAAGAAAAATAGACTTCTAAGAGTGTGTTTGGAGTGCTTTTAAAAAGTACTTTTAGAAATTATTTTTCATAAATATTTTAAAAAACAAATAATATTTGAAACTGTCCCACCGCCACCGCCACCGCCACAGTCATTGCCACCCACCACAACCATCACCGTCTCCTACCACCACCATTGTCGCCCACCACCTCTCACCCCCACTACAAATCAATGTTTAAATTCATTTATCTCTTTTCTATGTTTGTGATTTGATTTTGAATATAAATATAAATATATTTATTGTTTACCATTTTTTATTACACTGTACCTTCAGACACAGACAATAACTAGTTCTCTTATATAATATGAATTATTCATTTAAATAATATATTTTTTTCAGAGATATCCTCTTATTCGTTTATCTCTAGATTCAGAGCACCTTTATTCTATACACTTAAAAAATATATTTTATTTGTGTTCCTTGTTCCGTTGCATCAAAAAATCAATGTCTGTAAAAATAGGTATGAACATCTCTAGCATTTAACTCTCCGAGACCCGGCAGCCTTATGCACCATGAATAGATGACCTTTACAGTTTAATGAAAAGGAATACAATTTGATTATTTACGTAGTTAACCACGACAACTTCATTAAGACATCTAAACGACAAGAAGTACAAAAAATGTCACGTAATTTTTTATTTTTTTTAATTGGCGATATTGATGTGATTCGAACTCCAATGTTGAACAGTATAGAAAATAAGTTGCAATTTTGCAAAGTGTCACAACTACTAAATTATGGTAGAAATATCTTCTGTCTAGACCTAATAGGGTGTGTAAATAGTTTTTTTTTAAGTAACTATACCAAGTCCAAAATGAAGCCTTGTTTAGACGGTTCTTTTTTATTATTTAAAAAATATACGTGAATAACAATTTAAATCTCGAATGAGACAAAAAGATAGTAATGTGCTTTATTTTAAGAAAATTGAGTTCAAAATTTTCATTGAAAACATTTAAAATCAAGTATTATACAAAACAATGACGGATGGGAACAAAGATAATATGTCAAATGCAAAAAAAAAAAAAAAAATTGTCAGAAAAGATGATAAACATTTGGTTTTTGGATAAATTGTTACCATCTTAGAAAAGATGAGGGTATAATACGCAAATTTTAATCTTTATCAATTTTTAGAATTTTGATTGAGAATTTGTAAATCTTTTAGGATGTAAAATGTCATTCACCCCAAACAAAAACACATTGATTTGGTTGGATATTAAAGCAGGATATATATTAACATTTCTTATTCTTATTAATTTTTCAATACGAAAAAGAAAAAAAAATGAAAAATTAAAAGATCGTTTTATTCAAAATCTCAATTATGCATCCCTTCTCTCTCATTTCACACCTCGGAATGCACCGTTTTTATAGAGAAAAATACATTTTCACATCTTCTTAATCCGAAATGACTGAGAAGATGAAATATCCTTTTTTTTTTATTTTAAGAGTACTCCTGAGAACAGATCCGGTTAACACGGGTGGGCCTATATACAATGCCCGACCCGGGTATTAAAAAGGTTCGGAAGGCTGAGAATTCAGGAGATGGACGGCCATTTGCATGATCCGAGGAGATCAGACAGTTTTTCTTTGATTTAGTGACGGCTCAGAGAGAGACAGAGAGAGCAAACGCATGCTCCATTTCTGCTTTTGCCCTCATGGGGACCGAGGAGAGGGAGAGAGAGGCTTTTCTGCATTCTATTGCTGCTCTTTACGCCTTAGTCTTTGGGGGCCCACCTCATTGATGTATATGCTTGGGTAATTATTTTATCAAAGATGGAATTTTCTTAATTTTCAAATTCAAAGGTAATTTTTAAAAAACGTTAATTCAACTGATGTGTTAACCTAAAAATGTCAGTCCAATTGACTCGTTCTAAGCAACCCAAAATATTTAGAATGCATCTGTCCAATTGATGTATTCAAATTGGAATTGAATATCACGTTTTGAAAAACTTCTGTCAGTTATTTGTGTTAAGGTTGCGTGCCATGAAAAATCATCACTTAAACTAACGTGATCAAATTAAAAATAACATGCATTAATCAAAAGCCACCAGTTAAATAATATCTGGGTTTAAAAAATAAGTTAAAAACTGTATTTTTTTTTCAGGAAATAAGTTATCAAAGTGCACAAGTATGGTAAAAAACTTAAGGTAGTGTCAAATAATACTGCCCTGGCCCTGATGCAGCATCTGGGTAAGGAAAAGATTTGCAGATCAAAAAGGAAAAGAAAGACAATTGCCACACACATGCATATGCCAAAAATAACTTTGGATCCAATCACACTGCACTTTGGTCTATTAAAATAATGTAACCCAGTTCTCAACAATGTATGTTTGGTTTTGAGTGTAGTTTCGGTGGATCTTTGGGTGCTGTACATATTCTCTGTTTTTTTTTTTTTTTAAAGAAAAGAAGCTAACTAAAGAAAGAGAGCTTAACAAAACAAACAAAACGAGATTGGTAATAGAAGGTAACAAATTAGAGACCAGAGACATTAAAAGGCAAATTCGGCAAGGAGAAGGTTGATATTTTTTGAGGACAAATGACTCTTAAAATGTTAGAACATTTAGAGTAGAGAATTTTGAACGATTAGTTGTGATATATTTAGAATGACATGTTTATTGACCGTGTTTGTATTCACATGAACAAAATTTATGAATTGAATATGCTCCGTAAAATCTAACTAATTCGAATGTTTTTAAGAATACTATTCTTTTATATTTTTCTTGACAGGAAAAAGAAAAAAATGCAAACTGCAAAATTGTGCAAGAAGTGTGTTGGATTTATTGTGTCAGAATGGGTGTCGCGTGTAAGAAAACCCAAATGAAAATTGGATTGGATCGGGTAGTACCCTGCAAAATCAGCATCGATGTTTGTTGATTAATCAAGCTAGTACCCTGCAAAATCAGCACATGTTTGTTGATTACAAGCTGTCGTCTTGTTTTTTTAAATTCAACTGTTCAGGTTTAGCCTTCACTAATTTATGTGCGTCTCAATTCATTCTCTGTTCGCTCTGATCAAAAATTTAATACCTATGTTAAAACTTAAATATGCATGAGTAATAAATTCACAATTTCAAGAACCAACCACCGGTACATAACCGTCCCCTTTGTTTTCGCATCAGCAATTTTGTGTACGACTTTTATTCTTTTAGCAAATACTAGAGACTATTTAGATTTAATTTATTATAATCATTGAATTAACAATAAACCTCATTAAATATTAAAATTTAATATTAATTCAACAATTATAATAAAAGCACACCTTTAATTCAATAAATTAAATTAAAATTTTAAGTCTAAATAACATTACTCTTTAATTTTTTTTGAATTTCTTTCCATCTAAAAAGATAAAAAAAAGGATAATCAAATTGGGATCCAAATTCCCTTCTATATAATTTTATTCAATGATAGATCTTTCATCATATATGACAGGCAGTATACTAACATAACTAAGAATAGATATTTTTGAAAATACAAACTCCCAAGTCCAGGCCTGTGTGATGATCATGCTACATGCAAAATTTAAACATACATTACCCAACATTTTTCTTCAATACCCAAGAACACCAACAAGTCTCAATCTGAGCATAATCTCTAAAAAAATTGAACTGTTAAGAGGAGTAAATAATAACTTATCAACCAACCGACTTTGTGGTAATAATAACTTTTAAAATTTACCTAACTGTAATTTGCCAAGCTACAAATAACCTTTTTTCGCCTATACTTGGGAAATAGTCATACAAACACCTTTACGGTTAGGGACTAAAATTTAACAGTTTACCTTTTCTTTTAAAACCCATGATCAGATATCCAAAGTCGAAATCTTTAATAAAAATAATACATTATAATGCATAATTATTTCTAATCACAAGAAAATTCAGAATATACAAGCGTGACTACCAAAAGCCTCAAGGAACTCAAAGTAAGTCATCTGTGACCACTGACCTCAATGATATATGTGGGTTGTGGGGGTGGGGTTATAAGTTTGTATTGTTCTGCTTTACCTTTAACATAGTCAAGCTTTCAGGAACATTTTTCGAAACTCATCATTGGATATTGGCTTCTCGTCTCCTCCTCCTTCCTCGGATCCCTCAGTTTTCTGTTTACCTTTGGTGGTCCAACCGAGAGGTAGAGGTCTGACGGCTCTTGGCACTGCAAATGTGTTCTTCCCCTGGAGCTGGACAGTGTCATCTCCATGTCCCCCTTTGCGAGTTCTTTCAGAATTCCCTGCAATTTTACATCGATAAGTGGTGAAACAAGTACAAATTATCTGAAAGAACAAGGCTTAATCACCATGTGGAAGGCATATCATCATGCTGAAAGAAACATACGCAAAATTTGCTCTAGTGAGATGCACACAAGACTCTGGTTATTGGAGTAAATAATATAAAGCCTAAGAAAGCCCCAGCCTTTTCGTAGTAAATCACCGTAAAAGAAACATAAAATGCACGATATAAGATTCAATTTTTACGAACATTGAATAGGATTCCATGATCCAAAATATGGGATGCTTTTTTTCCAGAACAACATTATTCTACATAAACAGTGAAATCAAAACAACGTAGACCTTTTTCTTTTGGTACAAATTTGGGCAGACTTTGATACATATATATTATATCCTCCTGTTGGCCTGTCCAAAACTCATTGACAAGCACATAATACAAATTGAACATAACATTTAGTCATGCATCAAGAACTGGCCCATATAGGTGGTCAAGCGTTTGGAATGGCTCTAGAGAGAGTCAAAATTATCCATGTTAGCATACCATAAGCAGTTTGCACACTGTCCCCAGCAGATCCTCTCTTTTTCCTCTGATTGGGATCTGATCGTGCAATACTCAAACTCTTGCCAAGCAAATTATGCTTGTTCTTAGCCACAGCTGCTGCAAGGTGTGCATTATCAGAGAAATCCACATATGCCAATCCCTTCATGAAATGAGGAATCCTTGTTAACATCCGCAAAATTCACTATGGAAAACACTAATATTTATGTTCAAATATACATTGCTGAGTCCCCGCATAATGACATTTGTCCAATTTATTACCAGATCCTGACATTACAATTAACTATGGGATTCGAAATATCAACAGTGAATCTTGACCTCTCTTTAAATTAAACCCCCTATGACAACCCTTTAAAATTATACTCAAAACCATAAACATCGAAGGAGGGCGCAACTAGGATGGAAGATAAATCTTTGGTTCAATATTTGCCGATATGACTAGGTTTCCCACACTCAAATCAAACTGTAGTGCTATCTTAACCATTGTTGAATAATGAATTATAACCAATAAGTTCGAACGTCAATTTATCCATGTTAACTCAGTTCATATTTACTAGATCAGGTGGAAACTCCAACTGAAACACAAAATACAATTGGTCGCATATCTGGAAGAAGGCTTCTGTTGCATGACCTGTTTAATTGTGATGCCAAGGGCCACAGCAAGACAGGAAACAGATGTTTCTGCTATTGCTCAAGGGCAAAAGATACTACACAGAGTCAGTATGATGCTAGATCTGTCATATTCCCACTATAATAAGGGGTTAGGATTTGCTTTAAAAAAATAGCCCGACGAACAGGTAGGGAAGTATAAAAACAAGGTATAGGAGAAGATCTAGGGTATAAAGCTTCTCCAATGCTGCAATTGTTGTTTAACAAAACTGCATTGAAGAACTGAGAAACAAACAAAAACGAAGAGAATAAAAAACAGAGTGAAAGGAAAGGGAAACATATTCAGAAAAACTAGTACACTTCAACTGTGCAATTTACTATTACTAACTACGAGGCTCAAAACCCAAAAAATAATGAACCCGGTCAAAATATATCAGCATCAATCAAAACTAACTAAAGGGGACCCAAAAAATGCAAAAACAACACCACTTTCACCACCACAGTACTGGGAACAATATCACGCCACAGAAGCAGGTACTTGCCACACATGAACAGACTTCGCAACAGTGATTATTTGAGATTTTCCCCTTTTGAAATAGTATGATGTAAATGAAATATTCAAATACGAACAGGACTCAAATGAAGCATGTACTGGATCCTTAATATTCACAAAAACTTCTCCTAGAATGACAATTTAACAATTTCGAGATTACTGCAGGCACCTTAGCTTTAGACTTCCAAAATGCATTACACATGTCTGAGAAGTCGAATCCCCAGGCACTGTGGTGTGATTTAGAGAGGTAACAAAAGGCTGGATATACCAAGAGTGATCAACATTCAACACAAGCAATCTAACATACAGAGTTTTAAAGGAAAGACTCAGCTCTGGCATAATTGTATTTTACTGCAATTTTAAACCCTTAAGCCTTAACACTAATCCAGCAAATTCCAGATCATTATATTGTACTGTTGGAAAGCTGAACCTTCATCTGAAACTAAGAAATGAGAAACAAATACACTATCAACACTCCACCGGTAGCCAAAACCATAGATATTTACACCGGCCCACGCTTCATGAGAAAAGCCAGTTCTCATTCACCTTTGGAAAATACAATGCATGCTGACAGAAAGTAAGGGTAGTAGGATGATGATATAACCCAGAGGGGGAGAGAGATAATACCCTCGACTTTTTAGTAAACTTGTCTGTCAATATTCGAATAGCGGCAACTCCACCAACATCACTGAAGAAATCCTGTAGATCTTTATTGGTAGCCTGTACAAATGATAACTAGCACAATTAGTTCTACTACAACCGATGCTGATTCCAATTGTTTGTGTGCATGAGCATACCTCAAAAGAAGAGAGGGTAACAGACAACTTGCCTTAAGACTAAGATTTGATATAAAGGCAGTGCACTGATCTTTGTACTGTCTAGGTTTCCCAGGGTTATGATTTGTCTGATTTTCACTTGCACGATCAGGTTTGTCAGTGTTCTTTCTGATATCTTCCACTTCATGAATGAGTTGCTTTGCTTGAGCTTTGTTTTTTTCAGATGTTTTCTTTAGATTTTGAGCCATATCTTTCTGCTTTTTTCCTGGCAACTGTTCATCCGTAAGATTTGAAACTGGCTTTCTTTTTTCCCGTGCATTTTTTTTTAAGGAATTTTCTCCCTGTTCTGTTGGTGCCACAATATTTTTGCTCTCCTGCTGTAACCTGAATAACTTTACCTCTTCCAGACGAGGAGTTACCTGGGGCAGTTAAAATTAAACAAAGAAGCATCAGAAACACCAATCTTCCAGCCTCTACCAAACAATGAGTACACAAAAAATATCATGATACCATCTCTGTATCTTCGAATTTTATCAGATGTCCTTGAAGGAACAAAATATCATGATACATTCATTACTCACCGTTGTGCAATGTGTGGTATACCACTTCCTTATTTAGGAGACGAGCAAACAGATCAGATAGGAGGGTGCAAACAAATGCTATAATAGTGAGGCACAAATTCCACTATAACGAATGCTATCATTCCCAAGGTCTAATGAAGAAATTTACTCTGGCAAATCCAGGAAGATCAAATTATCCCTAAAAAAAAAAAAAGAATTCCAAGCATGATATGAAGGTACTTTTGTTGAAAGATAGTAATCCACACAAATCAACCCCCCCCCCCAAAAAAAATAATAATAATAATAATAATAATAAAAGATGAATTAATCAAAAGAGAACCATAGTCCAATCTTTTAACCCTTCATTGACCTACATTTAGGAAGTCATCAAATTAAAAGTCCTTAATTTCTTGCCTTGTCACACACAGGCCACGGCAAAATAACAGTTATCCGGTACACACTAACAAGATTCTTAAGGCAAATAAACAGAACATCATAAACTGATGGAACATAGCCTAAGTGGCATTATCGTGGCAACAGTATCTTGTCACCATAAATTCAACAATGCTACACTGACATGAGAAAATCTAGTGTCCATGCCAATCCAAAGGTTTGCATAAATGATTAGGTCTGTGGTACACGAGTGCTGAGTAAAACACATTAAAGGGAAATGACAAAGAAAGTAGTTTAAAGTATTGTAAGGTCATGCTGCACCAGTAAGAGGAGCATATTATAAGCACATAAAGGCAGCCAGAAAGTAAAAACACAGCCAAGGCAGTCAGAAATCAAGAAAAAGGACATTAACATTACTATACGTATGACCCAAGCAACAAGGAAGAAAAAAATTGTGCAGCCAACCCAAAGTTGGTTAAAACATCATTTAGGTAAGTTGAGAACAAATATTTCAGAAGGGGAACTAAAACTGGTAACAGGAATAAACTTAAAGTAATCAGGCAGGTTCTAAGTTGGTAAATATAGGCCCAGCCAATATCTAATCCTAACTCATGTTAGACCATGGTTCAAAATCACAGTATTGGCCATCGATTCGGAGAGCTCTGAGGCACATAGGTCACAGGGTCGCGTCACGGTATCGAGCGATACAACCTAAAAGAAAATGTTGAACACGAGATCATACCACAGCGTTGTGGAACCACAGCGGCCGATTCAGCGACGATATCTCAATGACTTGGGACTGAGCAAAGTACAACTTGGAGTTTATACGTATTGTATAATGGTATCGTCTCAGAAGGTGCCGAGTCAAAAACGACTTAGCCGACTTGTATTGGTATCGGACGATACTTTGAACCATGTGTTAGACAACCACTGGCCCCAAACGCTGAAGTTTTGGAATTGGCAACCAATGTATAGAATTTCCATTGAAGAATCCTCAATAATATACTTCATTTCATGCCTATAGAAGACATAGAAAAAGAAGTAGATGATGATAATTTGAATGAAAATTTACAACAAAATTTCACCCTCTCTACGCTAAATCAAAGGAGCTACTAGACCAACTAAGGTAGTACCCTCAGATTTAGCTCTGGCAGCTAGGAATTGTGCTTTCAAGCTTTGCTTTTGGATTCATTTAGCTATAGCTGATTTGGATTGAAAGCTTGTAGCAGCTTGGAGCACCCTTAATTGAACTCACATAAGCAACAGTCTTACCCAACAACGGCATTACTGGACGTCGACATTTTCCCATGAGGAGATTAGGTGGGCTCGAAGAAGGTCATGGTTGGCCCAATACATCCTCTTGTCCCTATCGCAAAGGAAAGGTCTTGGTGCCAAAGAAGGCTCGTGACGCATGTGCATGGATTATGATTATCATGCCCACATCAAGATCACCACAAAGAATCAATATCCTTGTGTTTCAATGTTCTAAGAAGGCTCGTGACGCATGTACGTGGATTATGATTATCATGCCTAGTTGCCCACAGCAAGATCACAACAAAGGATTATTATCCTTGTGTTTCAATGTTTTGTGTGAGATTGGGGGGTATTTGGCAAGGCTAAAAAACACGGATACTCTTCCGAAGATGTATTCATATCAAACTTGTGCTTAATACTGACAATTCTTACACACTCTCGAACATGTATCTGATACTCTTTCATCCAAGCTCATAATTAAAAGATAAAATTTCAATTTCTCTCTGCTAGTGACATGTCCGACACATCTTTAGGTTGTGTCTACTACTAAAAGATAAACCACTGTGGAAATATAATTAACTAGACTTAAAACTTTTTCAACAACAATGTTCCACAAAAGGAGTTGATTGGGTGGGGTGTCTTTTCCTCGGCTACAGCGGTATACATAAGGGCTACAGATGCCTCGATCCCTCGCTCCATTATATTAAACTCTTTCAAATCCTCGGTCACAAATAGCAAACATCTCAATTTAATCCATTCTACCCAGTCTTTGCTTTTTATTACCCTAGGAAAAGTCGCTACATCCAACTCCACGAACAAGAACTACCGATTTAGTGGAAAAGCTTATGCATCACACGAGTTATCACTAGTTACTCCTACTCTCACGGGCATCTAATCTTTGTACTTATCACAAGGGGATGACAACAAAACTAAAAGCAAATACCAGTATAAATTTAGGATCACTTGTTACCAAAAAGAAAACAAATTTAATTTGAAGCAAAAAAGATTTAAGAAATATCACCGAATTCCATCTTTTAACATAACATTTATTACGGTATTCAAATAGGTAATCAATTTGTTAACACTTGCTCTGTCCAATCTGCCAGCCACTTTTTATTTCAAGATGGAATAACTCAATTACTTGCTTCTTAACTACTTTTTTTGCTCCAATAGAGTTCCACAACTCCCTCACCTAGTCTCACACAAAAAACAAAGTGTCACATAAGTTGGTAGGGATCCATGATTGTTTTAAGTCCATAAAGCATAAAAGAGATTGTTTAGCATTTTGCTCGTTGCCATTTTCTTGTCAAAATATTTCCATTGCCTTAGTTCGCAAACACTACTTCAACTTTCAAATTTCTCATAAATCCTACAACAATTGCAATTTACTTCTCATAAAAAAACACTATATTTATTAATAAGTATATCTCATCATAATTGTCGTTTGGAATAAAATTTAAACTTCTTAAAAGGGGCACAAACAAATTAAGGACACGAGTAAATCAACTAAGATCCAAAATCTCTCATTTGTATCCAGTTTCTTGTGGTCCATTCTTCTAGATGCATCCAAACCAAAACAACTAATGGTCACGGAGAACCCTCAACTATGCAAGACAAAAATTAATCGGCCCTATTCTTCAAATGTGAATTTTCAAGTCCTCTCTCATGTGCGAGCTAGGCTCGCTTGTGGACAACGACACAAATGGAAATAAACTGAAAAACAGCTGGTAAACTTGGCTCATAGACCATCCAAGGTCCAACTCTAATACCAAGTCAATGGCATCCGAAGATTTCAACCCTAACAATATGTCAAAGGGGAGAAAGATCCCTCAATCATATAAACCAACCTTGGGCAGCCTTAAACATTCGATTAGGTATCTATGCATTGTCACATTCTATGTTCTCTAGATCCAAAGGGCATCTTTAAGTGCACAAAATGTAGAACTTAGGGATGTTCAAGAATCCAAATATTCAACTCTGACTTCGATTATGATTTTTTTTAATTAATAATTTTATATATATTATATAATATATTATTCTTATTATAATTTTAAGGATTATAAATTAAAAAAAGCAAATTATAATATTGTAGAGAAGCTATAATAGGAACATAAACTATCTAATTCTTGTGGAGATATTATAATAACATAATAATATGACCTATCTCATTCTTATATACTAGGAAGCACGGATACTCGTCGGGGGGTCGCCGTGGCAGTGTCGGACACGGATACGCGTGTCCGACACTTACAGAAGTGTCCTGAACAGTGACTGTGATTTTTTTAAGTCGGATACGACGCGGATACGTGGAGAATACGGCAGGGACACTTTTGTTATTTTAAAAACTTAAGGGGGCCGAAATGAAAGAAAAAAAAAAAAAACAAAGCTACGTCGTTTTGGCTTGAAAAAAAAAAAAACAAAAGGGCAAAGCCCATCTGATCTGTGAACCACTCCAATCGACGATCAATGTGTTCGACAGAGAGAGAGAGAAGAGAAGACGAGGAGCTCGACTGCTCAAGAGCACCAAAGGAGGAGAAGGAGAGGGAAAAAGAAAGGAGACTCACCTGCGACTGCGACTACGATCGTGATCTGTGACTGCGATCTTCCAGGTTCTTCTTCTTCCTTTAATTTTTTTTTTTTTTCAAATCTACTATTGCTACTCTTACCTCTTCGTCTTCTGGTTTGTGTGGAGTGTGGACTTTCAAAAAATTTGATTGGGGATTTTTAGGATTTTCAAAATTTGAGAATTTTTTTTTGGTCTGGTGTTGTGTTGCTTGCTGCCTTCGGGAATTTTTTTTGGTCTTTGTCATCTGTGTTGCTGCCTTTGTGCTACTGTGTTGCTGCCTACTGGTTTTAAATACTGAAAATTGCTTTCCTAGCTAACTTTTGTCTTCTCTTTTTTGTTGTGCTGCTATGTTTTTTTTTGTCATCTGTGCTGCTGCCTACTGCCTTCTGTGCTAGTATGTTGCTGCTGGTTTTGAAAATTGTCATCTGTGCTACCTGCTGCCTTCTGAAAATTGTTGTGTTGTTGCCTGTTATTTAGGATTTAGGAAAATGAGTTCTCTTGCTAGTGGTAGTGGAGATGGCAGTGGGGATGGCAATGATGATCACACCCCTTTATGAAAATATTGCACAAAAATAGAAAAAATTAGTGTAGGAGGAGGAAATGTTCAGTTTCAATGCAATTTGTGTCAACTGAGTTTTAAAGAAACATATTATAGGGTTAAAGCACATTTGTTAAAAATCAGCGGTCATAGAGTTCAAGTATGCCGGAAAATGACTCCGCAATTATTAATTGAAATGAATAGGTTAGTTGATGAAATTGAGGTGAGAGTGAAAAGAAGTGTGCCCAAACAAGTCCCTTTACCACCATCTTCAGCATCAAGCAAAACCTGCTTCCTCGAGTGCAAGTGTGAGTAGTGGTATGGGAATGGGATTTGATTCATTAATGTAGGGGGTTGGTTTAGAAATAAAAAAAAGGAAGGCTACTTCTGCTCTTGAGAAAGCCTTTAATGTTGGAGCTCGAGAAGAACTACGTAGTGAGATTGCAAAGATGTTTTACTCAGCTGGTTTACCATTCCACCTTGCATGGAATCCACATTATTGCCGCTCCTACACTTTTGCAGCTACTCATATGATTAGTGACTATATCCCTCCTGGGTATAATATGGTGAGGACTTCACTTCTTAAAAAAGAGAAAGCAAACATTGAGGTTGTTAGAGCCAACGAAGCAATCGTGGAAAGAAAAAGGTGTAAGTATTGTTTCTGATGGTTGGACGGATGCTCAAAGGAGGCCAATCATAAATTTCATGGCAGTGTTTGAAAGTGAGCCTATGTTCTTGAAAGCAGTTAATTGTGACGGTGACTATAAGGACAAATATTTTATATCCAACTTGCTTCTGGAGATCATTCATGCAGTTGGACCTCAAAATGTGGTTCAAGTGATCACTGATAATGCACCCGTTTGTAGGAGTGCAGGAATGCTTGTTCAGGGTCGTCATAAACACATCTTTTGGACCCCTTGTGTGATGCACACACTTAATCTTGCTTTGAAAAATATTTGTGCACCAAAAAACACCAAAGCCAATGGACGTGTTTATGAAGAGTGTAATTGGATCTCAGTTATTATTGGGGATTGTGTGAGCATTAAAAATTTAATTGTGAACCACAACATGAGATTGGACATGTTTAATGATCATGTAAATTTGAAGATGCTCTCAATTGCGGAGACACGTTTTGCTTCAACTATTGTGATGGTTAAAAGATTTAAAGTTCTAAAACGTGGTCTCCAAAACATGGTTATTAGTAATCGGTGGTCTTCTTATAGAGAAGATGATGTTGAAAAAGCGGCATTTGTGAAGGAGAAAATATTGAATGATTTGTGGTGGGACAAAATTGATTATATAATTTCCTTTACTGAACCCATTTATGAGATGCTAAGGAAGGCCGATACAGATACGCCTTACCTACACTTAGTTAATGATATGTGGGATTATATGATTGAGCAAGTGAAGGTTATTATCTTTCGTCATGAAGGGAAACAGGAAGATGAGGAATCAACATTTTATTCAGTGGTTTATGAAATATTAATGGATAGATGGGGCAAGAGCAACACACCGCTCCATTGCTTGGCACATTCCTTGAATCCGAGGTAATTTTTAGGCTCTAAACTTTAAGATTTTAATTTAATTTTCTAGATATCAAATGACTATCATTTTTTATTTACTTTGTCTTTTAGGTATTATAGCGTAGAATGGCTTTCTATGGCTCCTAATCGTGTTCCTCCACATAAAGATGAAGAGATTTCAAATGAAAGAGAAAAGTGTTTTCAAAGATACTTTTCTAATTTGGAGGAGCGAAGAAAAGCCAAAGAGGAGTATGCCAAGTTTTCAGCATGCTTTAAAGAATTTGGAAGTCATGATTCCATGAGTGATAGAGGACTCATGGAGCTGGCTTTTTGGTGGGTTATCTATGGCTCTACGGCACCCTTGCTCCAAAACTGGGCTTTGAAGTTACTGGGGCAACCTTGTTCCTCCTCATGTTGTGAGAGGAATTGGAACACTTATTCTTTTATACACTCTTTAAGGAGGAACAAAATCAAACCAGATAGAGCCGAAGGCTTTGTATTTGTACACTCCAATCTCCGCCTTCTATCAAGGAAATCTCCTCAATATAAAGAAGGCAACACTAAGATGTGGGATGTTGCAGGAGATGCATTTGATTCCATGGATGAGGAGGGTAGTGGAATGCTTGAGATTGCAAATCTTTCCCTTGATGAACCAGATTTGGAGGTCATACTCTTTATTGATGAAGGAATTGACAATGATGATGTTGAGCGCGTTGAAGTAAATTGAGGGAGGATGTCGGATTCCTTTTGTTTTTGTGTTCTTTTGTTATCAAACTTGTAGACTATGGATGTATCTTTTTGAATCTTTGATCTATTTCAATTTAAGTATGTCTTGATTGTTTGCTATTATTAATGTTGTTATATATATAAAAATATATATAATTATTTTAATTAGCCGTACCCGTATCCTATACTTAGGGATTTTTCCGTATCGCCGTGTCCGTATCGTATCAGATACGACATCTTAGCTTATATATCTACTCCATCCAGTCGAACTCTAAGCCCACCCACCCCACATTTCCTCTCTCTCTCTCTCTCTCTCTCTCTCTCTCTCTCAATAATGAGCCCTAAATCCCCAAATTTAAACCTTTCCTCCACAAATCCAATTGAAGCTCTCACTGATGGCTGTGACATCTCTCTTTCAGGTAGGTGCAATTTTTAGTTTTTTTTTGTCATTAAAGCTCTGTAAGTTTAGTTTAATTTCCAAATTTTTTCATGTAGCTATGAAAAAAGGGGTAGATCTAGATTTTGTTTTGTGAGTTGCTTTTCTTGGTTTCTTTCGCTTGATGATCTATTTGTTGATGGAAAAATATTGTTTTTTTTTGGAGAATTTCACTCCTCAAATCCGAAAGGCGAAACTAGAGCCGGAGTTATAAGAGTTTGGAGTCAAAGTCAGAGGAAAAAATCCACCCCGATTGCGCTCGGAGTCGGAGTTGGAGCCCAGCCCTAGTAGAACTTACCAAGGAAACTACATGATTCCAGATTGACAAAAACTGATGTAATTTTATAGATATTTTAAAAAAAAGCCATCTAGACTCTGGATTGAAAAAAATGTGGATATTTTCCAAAAAAATGACAGCAGAGAACAAGCAGCATGGGATGTGATAGTGGAGTTCCCAGAATATGTTGCAGTGGAGGAAGAGGAGAGGTGGTGTTGCTGGTAATTGTGATAGTAGAACGATTATGCAACAGGCTTCCATTGAAGACTTACTCAATTTATTTGGGAGCTCTACATTGGTCTGCAGATGTCTAAAAACAGCAAATTAAATTTTACAGTATTACAATAGATTCACCAATCAGAAATGGGTTTTTGCACCGATGAACAAAAGAAAAATGTGCTAAATTAGCTTATGAACAGTCAAAATTTAACTGCTGCTAAAAGAGTACCTTTTGCACAGCATGATCAAAATCTTCCAGCGTACCAAATTCCCTCTCAAAGCGTAACCAAGAATAGCACATGTCCTGAATGATTCTGTGTTTTAGGAAAGGAAGGTATCATCTAATTCAAAACATACTGCATGTAACAAACAAACTCATGAAGCCAAAATTTATCAACATGTAAAGCAAACAAACACTTGATATATTTATGCAGGAATGCTGGATTGCCACAAATGCCCCAGGATTGGTCATACTTCAATCAAATTTGAATTGTTATGTCATGAAGCTATAGGAATGGGAGATAAAACATCAACCAGCATGTGAGACCCGGTCATGCACGGAATTGCATTTAACAGTAAGGAACGGAATTGCATTTAACAGTAAGGAACAGAATTGCATTTAACAGCAAGGATGGAAATATAATTCTTAGGGGTTCAAAAAAATAATAGTTGTAATGCTGTAACTGGAAAGAATTATTATAATTTGGGGTGACATTAAACTTTCCAAAGTTAAAGGGATGCAAGTGTGATTACTAAAAATTTTGGAGAGTTGTACATGACAGATGGGATCGGGTAAAGCCTTATCTTCATTTATATAACTTCTTATTAACGCCATAGGAGTGAATGATTGAAACTTATTGGGTACTTATATAATTTTTGCTTTAATAATATTAGAGCCAAAGTGTAGAAATCAAATAATGTGTGAGCAAAATTAAAGCCAGCATTTTGAGCTAGATTAGGGCTGATATGTATATATCAGCTGCTTTAATCTTAAAACAGCCACTGTTGCCTATTCTCTCTCTAAAACCCTTGTTTCCCTTTCTCAAAAACTAAGTCTTGCTTGGTACTTTCTGATTTGGGTAAAACTTGCAATTAAGCTTTGGGCTTCCTTTTGTTGTGGTGAAGAAGACATCTTGGTGTGGTAAGAGATCTCTTCCCTCTCTTAAAGTTTATATTTGGAATTGGTGTTTCATCTCTAGAATGGATTCAAGTATTCTTTTCAATTGTTAGGAATGAAATTAAACTAGTAATCATATTTAAAAGTCTAATCAACATTAAAAATAGGTTTTCATGACATTAAAGGGTTGTTCTAGAGGCTGGAAATTTGATTATTGATTTTATAAGTTTGGGTGGTGATGTAACTTGTAAGTAAGTTTAGCTAAAAAAATAGCTCAAGTTAGAACAACATATTATCAGTGTCGACAACAGTTTTTGGTTTTAAAATGACTAAAAAACAGGGGACTGTTTGGTTGGACAAATTTGATACCAATAGAAAAGTAATTGTAATGTTTTCCTTGGAATGCCGTATAGAGCTAAGACCTATGGTTAGAAATTTTAGGAAGTCTACTTAATAATTAATTGGTTTCATGTTGATTTAGTAAGGATAAAGGCTTTAGTGCAGGTAAAGTGTTCAAGGAAATTTTTGAGTGAAATGAGTGAGCGGAAATGGAGCTTAAGTGACTCGACCTAAGTTGAGTTGAATGTGATATAAAATAAGTAAATGTCTATTTACAGGTACACCTTGTACATTGTATAATGAATTAACACATATTTTATTGATTTGAAATAAAGAAAATGGAAAAACAAGTGCAAAATTCAATTGCGAAATATTCAACATGTCAATTTTAATAACTCAGTCCAGACCTTGCTAAAGAAAGAGAAATCAAATTTTTTTCTTTGCTTCAACATTAATCTGAACATTGTTCTCAAAATTTTTATCTCACAATAAAATTATATCTGTAAGGACCCGAAGAAAGGGGCAAGTCAATATTTAAGTTTATGGTAGTAGCATAAGCTGTTCACTTACCTCTAAATATACTCCTAACAAACTCCAAACCCAATATCTTGACTAAATTTTTTCCCAACAAATCCTGCAATACTTGGCTCTAAGAAAACCCTAACCACTCCTCACATCAATTCCTCTCATCATATTGTGAAACAGAGTGATCCAAGGCATGTATCCTACATTAGCATATTATTTAAAAAATCACTGCATCCTCCCCCTAAGAAATCTGAATCTATCAACCTCTGATGAATCATACGGAAGAGTTGGGGAACACCCAGTTCAAAAACCGGTATCACTACATGCCACTAAATCTGTCTGTTTGTAGAGAGAGAGAGAGAGAGAAGACTTTGCTCATTGTTGGTCCAAGAAATTGGGTTTTGAGAGGCATGCACTACCCGTGAAATATCCCTTGAGTATTATTTGTGAATCAGATAGGAAGCTACACTTCTACGAAATACAAAAACCAAGTTTGTACATCTACATTTTTTAAAAAGAAGTACTAAATTTCATGGTTTGTAACCAATAGGAGTTGAAACTTGTATCCACATGAGAAGCTACTAGCATGTATTTAAACAAGAAAAAGTCATAAAAACAGTTTGCTATACCTCTGAGCCCGTCCCAGGAAATCTTTTACTGTAACATCTCTTATAGAGGGATCTAGCTTCATTTATATTACCCATTTCAATTTCCATTGCTATATAACCTTGCCAGGCTTCCAGCATAGAGCCACTGCATAGAAACTATTCTAAGGGAAGAACGAAAAGAATTGCAATAAATATGGAAACACCACTGCAAATATCATAAAATGGAGAAAGGAGATAGAATTAAACCATATCTTGAGCAAGCTCTCCCAGACTCCTCGTGCTGCAACCAAATCTTTTCCCAGATTCGACTCTAAACGAGCCCAGTAACGATACATTTGCAACAAACTGTCCGAGTTTTTCAGGTGCGGTGACAAGTAATCAGATGCACGCTGAGATAAGCAACATACAGGATGAAAATAACATGTCTATTAATTTTTTTTGGAACAAGTACATGTCTATTAATTAAAAAAGCCCATTATTGACAGCAACATAAATGAAAGTAATGACCACCAACTAAATGAAATGAACACCATTCAGTATATTTGGATACACTGACCTTCAAGGCATTTATTAGGAGAACCAGAGATCAGCAGTGACACAAACGCAGAACAGGGAATGCATCAAACCTTAAGGTGTGACAACCCAGGTAAGTGTTGTAGGTATCTCATATGTATTAGTGAAGCTGGGCTATGGATCAAGTCCGAAGAACAACTCTTTACAGTAGATGTTATAATTCAGGAAATGGATTTTCTACGTGTAAATGCTATTAAAGAAAAAGGATTAGGATATTGGACACTAGCAGCTATCGTCAACAAATTCACTGAGCTAACTTGAATTGTGAACTGTGAAGTATGCTATAACTAAGCAAAAACCCAAAGACAAATATGTAATCTGCGAAAACTTACTTCATGCTCTATTTAGGAACAGCATTCAAAGTCAGCACCAAGATAAATTCAAGAACATAATTGAATCTTATCATAGTTGTAATAGAAAACAAGAAGCTATCTAAAGTGTTTCACACAAATCATGAAGGACCTTGTCTAGTATGCTACATAGGTCAGGCAGTAGCTTCTTCCATAGCGTCATCTTTGTTGGAATTGTTTAATTCAAACTCGGATAGCAGGTAATATCCCACATTCAACAGTTCATAGCTCAAAGATGGGTGATTCCAACACATATCAATTCAGATGACCTCCTCATTCATAGCACTTAAAATTAATTGTACAAAAAGATGTTTCTTCTCGTGTTTGCAATTTTTAGCAAAGCAGAATTCAGCTTGACCATTTTTTGCTATTGGCAAATTAAGGTGTTGTTAAAAGGCAAGATCTTCATAAAGAAAAACTATGGTAATGTTTGACGGAGTAATTGTTGAAGCAAGACACAAGATTTGACAAAATCAACCATAACATGTTAAAAATATCTTCATTATTCTCCAAGGAACTAACCAGCAAATACAATGTGAAGTTGAGCAAACAAACCTGAAAAGTGTCCCTTATCAATCCATAATCCAAGGCATCCTCCAATTCTCCAGTTAACAAAAATCGCCGCCTTAGGCCATCAACTCGAGTGAGAAATATATCTGCGTACTGAAATAACAAGTCCACAGTCATTTTAGTCTCACTCGACACTTCAAAAAGGGTATTAACTGTTACTGGCAAAATATTTATATGAGTTCTTTAGCAACACAACATGAATCTTCAAAAAAAAAAAGAAGAAAGTCACTTAGTTATAAAAGGAAACAAAAATGATACATCCCATTTCCTTCTGTCCTTTATATGTAGGTGTAACAGAGCCAAAAACACACTGATGGGCAATGACAGGGTAGAAACTATTTTACCCAATAGGTTTTATCACTCCTTTCCCATGGATAATGTTCTACCTCGCACCATCACATCAACATATCCCTTCCATTAAGTAGAGGACAAGAATGCTCAAAGAATGGCCATGTTAACTACAGAATCTCAAACATGACATGAGCATCACCAATTCCAGACCATACCATGATTCCTACAATTTATGCAGCTATATTTCACACCAAATAATGTGAATTTTTCTTCCATGAATTTAACTATAAAACATATAAAGAGTAGAAGCCAACAAAGAATAGGCATATAACAGAATAGAAAACAATGTATTCAAACATATGAGGTCATATTTCCGTACCTCATCGAAGCTAGAAAAAGTACACTGCAAAGACTTCTCAAAAACCTGAATCAATGACATACGTTAAAATATGAGGAGTGGTAATCTCGTAATAAGGATAGCCATAAAGAGGTATATTGGTCTTTTGATTGTTTTTCACAGACATAAATATATTCACATGGGGAGAGAGGCGTGTGATACAACTTCACTCTCTCTGCCTCTTCTATTCTTCTTCTCTCCAAACCCCTATTTAGTAATTTCCTACTTTCACATGGTATCAAAGCCACATTAATTCTCTCTCTCTCTCTTTTCTTTTCCTTTGTCTTCTCTTGTTCAGTTAACATAAATTCATTTGTTTGTGGATTGCTGAGTGCTGGAGTGCTGAGATCTGTTAAGGAGTTGTTGATGTCTGGGTTTTATGTTTCCCTATAGCCCTAGTCGTTGTTCTCCGCCGGTGGAGTCGCTGTCCGTGTGTTGTTAGTGCACAGTGGATCAAATCGACTCTTCGATTGCAATCCGTCTCCAACCTGTTGTTGGTTGGTGCGTTTCAGCTATGGATCCATCTCCAATTCTGGTGGAAATCAGGATTTTTGTGTAACGTGTACCAGTATCGGACTCAGCCGAAACTTTGAACCATGGAAGTAACAGGTGACCTCGATTGACGAATGTGCACACAAAGGAGTGTGGTAGAGGGTGGGGGTGGAGAAGAAAGAAGAGATGACAAAGGGGCAGGGAGTAAGGGGACCAAAATCGGAAGTGGAAGCGAGCCAGGCTAGGGAGATCACTCATTAGCGTACTCAAAAAGAACAGAGGGGGCAGACAAATAAACGATAGTTGGGATGGACAACAATCGGTCATATATTCCTTTCACATGCCTTCCTGCCCAACTTTGGGCCATCTTCTTATAACTGCATGTCAGCTAAATAGAAATAAAACAATATCTGCTTCTCATATATCCCGCTGCTATATACGATCTCCATCTCTCCCTACACCAGCAAATGCTTGATTATGGTCAATAAGCTAAAAACCTAAGTTGAAGTAGTTTGGCCAAGTCATACAGCCAAATAAATCTGTCGCAGAGGTGGATGAAGTTTCATAGGAAGTCGGACCACACGCAATTGGTTATCCTTTCCTTTAAAATTCAAAAAAAGTCATAGGAACAGAAACAAAAGAAACTTACAGCAGATATATCTTTCTCAGAAGCATGACCACGTTCAAGGGAAAGCAAGTACCGAGTCCATATTTCTCCAACCCAGGAACAGTTCCTTGTGGCCCTGTAATAAGCATCCCTTGTAATACTGGAGGACTGAAATTGGAAGATAGATAATCACTTAAACTGAAAACACCAAAACCAAAGGATGAGAGATAAGAAAGTTAGTCAACCACCTTCAAGATTTGGTCCAGGTAGCGAGTATAATCGAGCCACAGATCGCCAGATATAGGAAACTCAGTTATGGCCCGTTCATACAGAATTTGTACACGAGATGGATGTCCAGAAGACTGTTCAAACTTTAAGTACGTCTGCCACACCATTACAACCATCATCATTTGCACCAGCAACTTAAGTTGATAATGCAAGCATGATATCCATCAACAAAGTAGTGTATTATTTACCCAAAGTAATGGGCGTGTGGTGCTCACCTAAAATTACTTTAGGGCGTGGACAATTAATTCTCAAGGGCCTAAAGCCGCTGACCTGCTTGTATACTACTCAGGTGATGATGGGATTAGCTTGTATTAAGTTCTTTCGTGCTTATTTCCAAAATAAATTACTAACATTTATAGTTCCCAGAAAGTTAGACTTTCATTTACTGTAGTTTTCTTCAAAGTTCCTATTCTGAACAGAACATTGCTCAGAAATATTCGATTGTTTATAGATACAACAAGACTTATGTAGGAAGTACCAGATAATAATTCAACGAAGAGATAAACACGAAGCAATCATCCAGACACCCACACCAGTATCATTGTGCTATTCGGACCAATACTTAAGACAACTGAAGCAAATTGACCCTACAGAAAAAAGCTGGTACAAGAAATTGCAGGAATCACATGCATTGCTCCTGCGCAGTTTTGGCTATCCCAACTCGGCGTATTAAACCAAGAGAAAAGACATGCTACACCTACCAAAATTTCATATTCTAGAGGAAGAAAGAAAGCATATGCAGAACAGCTGAGTATAATCACCTAGTATCGAATAAAGGCAAAATCTCCACTATCAGAACCACATCACCTGAAATGCTGCCTTAATCAAGTTGAGGCAGCAAAACAAAGGGCAGAATTTATATAAGACGGAACAAATCAAGTCCAAACTATCAGTTTAATTGTGTACCTAATGCAAAAACAGCATTATACACAGTACTAAGAGATCCTGGAGATTACAAATCCTATTATAATGCACAAGAATGCGCATCAACAAAGACACCCAGTTACTTTTTTAAATGCAACAAGAAACTTTAGCAGTAAAATAATAATAGTAGATGGGGGGAAAGCAGTCCCTCACTTAAAGAAGAAACAAAAAAACTGCATATTACTGCTATGCAAACCATCCTAATCATATATGATTGAACTCCAACAAATCAATCGACACCGAAACCAAAAAAGATGCCAAGAGCAAGAACCAAATTGTTTCCCACCAAACAATGTCACCCTCAAATTATCTGCAAAAATTCAAGCATTCCTTTCCAGCCATACAACCCAAAATACTGCCAACACGACACACCTCCAAAGAGAATGTGCTCTATACATTGGTAAGAGAACTCATATTTCATTGTCTAATGTAGTATAAAATGCTTACAATGCATCAATATACTTAATCGCAATTAACGATGTAATATATCTAACTTATTTTCCAATTTTTTTTTAATTTATCTAAAAGGTCTTTTGTACAATTTTAAACATCAATTTTAGCTTTACAATATACTATGCAGATTCATCACTGGTGCAATAAAATTGCTTAGATTAACCATTCTTTTCAAAGGGTTGGTTCATCAAGTCATAAAGAAGTTACACACCATGAATGATTGAAGTCTTTCTGAGTCAATGGCATCTCGTTTAGAAATTTGTTCTTCAAGATGAGCTCGAGCATCCAACATCTCCAACGCCTTTTGATATGCAGAGGCAACATGAGAAGAAATCCCATCCAAGTCACTAGTGTTGACATCAAGACCATTCCCCTGTTCTGTTTCCCATGCCTTGTACAAAAGTAGGATTGACCTTAAGTTGCTAAGGGGGACAGACAACTGACGGTGGAATAGATTTCGAATTCGATGCACCTGCTCTTCTCTTGACTGCAAAACAGGATGCAGCATTCTTACCATCAATTATCATAAATTACAAATAAACGTCCATCAAGAAGTAACAACATAACTATGCGACAGAGGATAATGACCGCCACAAATTTAGACACCTTGTCAGATCAACCTAAAGCATGGTTTATGTTTCGAGTAGAATCCAGTAGAGTCCCAGAAGAAAACACATGCACAAACATGTACAAGATATATCAAACATGAAGTGAGCTCCTAAATAACATCAAATTGAGCACATATAGAGGATGTAATCAATGATAATTTGCCTCTTTCCATGCATTCCCAAAATTTACAGTCAGCTATTTTTTTGTCTACCATGTTGATTATGGGAGGTCCCTCTCTCAACCCCATTCCCAATATTATCTCCTAGAAGGAACATACACAAACAGGAGACCCCAAGTACACATCTTTAATTTAAAGGAAATCTCTAGTAAATGAGATAATTTGAAAAAGGAGATTGTGAACTTTCAAGTACTAAAGGACTTGTGGGGGAAAAAGACAGCCTATTTTGCCTTTGGATCATGAATAACCCATGTATTCCATCTAAAACTGCTTCTATTTGACCATATGTCAATACCAAGTAGAATCTTAATCTCAGCCCAGTCCAGAAGAACTCTTTTATTCCTAATGAGCTTAATTGTAAGAGTGTAGTCGTGAGAAGTAAACCAACTTTCAACAAGGACATCTTATACAAATTTCCTATGGGAAACTAAGTGATATACATTCAGAATACTATAAAGTCCCCAACTATATGCAATCACATAAGCTCTCAACACCAGAAGCACTATTTCCTCCGGGAAGCCAGTCTGTGTTTGACCATTCAACAGGTACAATCTAGATTATCAGGCACACTTGCAATAAAACAAGAGAATCATAAGTTAACAACACATTACTCTAAGTGGATGGCAAAACATGCTATGAGGGCATAAGTTGAATAATTTGCAACTACCCAACCCCAAAACCCTCAAAAAAGAAATTGAAATATGAAGCTGCAAAAAGAAAACAATAATAACAGCAACTGAATGGTAAGCATCACCCCGTCCATAAACTGCAGCTAGTCCAATATGCAAATCGGTACGACACCAACAACACTGCATCCTCTTATCCGTTTTTTTTATAAGAAAAAAAAAAAATATATATATATATATAGTTCCTGGTGCGTTGTTTCCCACCAGATTAATCAATGCATGCCATAGCCACAACCAATTGCATGGTAAGCGTTTAGTGTGCAATTTTTGCCCAATCAAAACCACTGAATTTATGACAAAGAAGTAGTCCTCCATCGGCAATGTTTGGGATCAATGTAAAACATACTAGACGTTGCTGGGCACAATCTGAGACACCTCAAAATTAACTCCAAGTAAACCACAACTTTAATCATAATACAAGTCCCCCCTGCATTTGAAAAGGCCAGTATCACATTCTTCTATGCATATGCACCTAAGCCTCCCTCACATTCTTCTAAACCAGAACAAAAAATGTATTTGGATAATCCATTTATTATCATGCTCCAACACTTTCCCTAAAGCACCATACCAATATCTTTTTGAGTTCCCAACCTGCAAGTGGTAAACCTTTGTTCATATCTTGCTGCAACAACTCAGTTACCTCCTACTAAACAATGATAAAAAATTATTCAACATGCCTAGCATTTGCAAATAACACGCTCCCCTTGGACGTGTAACTCTATGTTCTCCTCCAACCTCTTACATCCTATACTTCTCGAATGCATGCCCCCCAAGCAAACCCTTCACTTAACCTCTCCCATCATAAGGGCAATCCTATGGACCCCGTCTTTGATCTTTCCATTCTCTTTCTTTTGAATCTGAAAGACCAACCTGTGTCCCTATAAAAATGGGATAGTCGATAAAGAATGCTAAAGCTTAGGGATGCTCAACAGCTTTGCTTAAGCACTCAAGTAAAACCAGCCGCCCAGTACAGCCTTTTTTTAATTATGGTAGAATGCTGTTTTAACAAGAAACACCCACTACGCAAGGTGTAACCTCATGGCCAAGTATCAAATTTCAAATATATGTGCTCACAGTCTGTCACTGCAATATAACTCATTAAAAAGGCAGCCTTAGCCATTCATCTGTATTTGCGATGTATGGTGCATAAGCCATTCCGGTACCCTGAAAGTTGGGACCTTCACTAATCTTTTACATTTTATCAGTAAAGTAAGGAATTATACTCACGAGTTAATAATGCATAATCCATATATGTAATGTGGGAGTAGAGACTTCCACTTGCAACATTAATCCATCATATCAGGAGAAAATGCTGAGTAAGATAAACACAATTGCGACTTTAACATGCTGATTTTGTGGATGCATCCATATTATATAACATCAATTTAGAATGTTGATTTGTGTATGTCCATATTTACACAATTATATTTGTACATTCCTGTGACCTTACCAGATTAAAATTCAACAGACAAATTACATGAAGACATACACAAAGAAAAAGAAGCAAGACATGAACATGCGACAGTTAGAGAGAAGTTGTGTTTGAAATCCTTACCTTACTGTCACTCTCGTCAATAGTGAGGAAGACAGCTTGCTCAAATTTCCTGTATGCCTCCCATATCCTGCTACCTTCAGCAACATGCAACCCAGCAGCAGTAAGTGCACGCTCAAATAGATTCCTTGCCTTCAAAAGACCAGCAGGTGAACGTTCACAGACTGACAGATCATATTCTTGAACAAAATTTAGGTAGTCACACCATAGAGAGACCGACTGCACAAAGAGAAATCATAGTAAAATTTTCTTATCCAAAGAACATCAATCACCATCTGCAAAAGGTATGAGGTTTTTCACTTAGTGTTGTGTACACTTTTTTCAATAACATATTAAAAACATTGGATCCACTTTGATTGCATGAGCTTTACTACAATAAAAGCTTTCATACATCTCAAGATAAGGGGTAAAATAACATAACTACAGAACACCCTTATTACATAACTCCCATAACATCCTTATGGTATAAGTTAACCCTGTTAATAAGAGTAAATGAGAAATCATAATAATCAGAATATGGAATACCATATCAGCTTTCCTGTTGCTTGGAAAAGGCTGAGTTGAGTTGTATATAAGCGTTCCCAATCAAAATTCATATGGCAAAGAAAATACTCGCCAAAGCTTTCCGGTCTCTATTCAGTACTTACTCTTTTTCTGAAAGATAAAAGGGCTGTCTATCGCACACAAAGGAGGAATTTTTCTTACAAAAAATTGAAGGAACAAAAATAATCCAAAAACGAAGAGAAGAACATGATAGTAAAAGCACAACAACAAAATGCAAACCTTTCACACTACCAAAGTGGTTACCCTGAGAAGTCAAGTACTTTTCAAGAAGTGCAGCAAAAATTATTTTGTTGGTTTTTGTTAGAGTGTTGCATTCCTATTGCTCTACTTTCCTTTTATACTAGGGGTAATCCGTGCTTGAAGGCACGATGCAACGTAAATTAATATGAATGGTTTCGAGAGGGATGTTGATGGCCGTTAGATGAGTCTATTTGAGACCATCGAATAAACTTATTGAAGTATGTCATGTTTTATATTATAGATTACTTTCCAATAATTTTTCTTTCCTATTGTTCTACATTCCTATTATGTGTTTTTCTATTACGTTCTACTTTCTTTATATTGGAATTATCTCCAACATCAATCTAATATAAATATGTTATAGTATTTTGGCAACATACACCTCACACAAAATATCATTTCATACCTCTTTCTTCCTATCTTCTTCTTTTCTTTCTATTCCTCGGTTCTAACATACAATTATTCAAATTTTAATTTAGTATCAAATTAGGATACTTGGGTGAGTGAGCCTAGCCCTAGGTGAGTGCCTCACTCGCAACACACATTAAGTTGTAACCATCTACATGTTTGCGAGTTGTTGTCATCGTTGGAATCACCCTAAGTTGGAGTTTTCTTGTCGTCGTTATCTTCATCAGTTGTTGTAATCATTATATGTTGTTGTGAGGTGCTCGAATTAGTATTCATGTCTCTAGTGTCTAATTACTGATGCAAATTTTAGTGTTTTCAGTCCGATTTAGTCCTAGTTCATCGATATCCAACCCAATTTGGTGTTGGTTTAGTGGTTTTATCCCGATTTAGTGTATATTCGGTGGATTTCGGGCTAGTTTGGTACTGCTTTAATGGTTTTCATCCCGGTTCAATTCCGCTCCAATGTTTTGAACCTGATTTAGTGTTAGTTCAGTGATTTTCAGGTCAGTTTGGTGTTGGATTAATAATTTCCATCATGTATTAATTTTGGTTCAATATTTTCAACCCAGTTCAGTGCTGACTCATTGGTTCAATGTTTTCAACTTGGTTTAGTGTCGATTTAGTGGTTTTCAACACAATTTGGTGTTATTTTAGTGGTTTTCATCCCAGTTCAATTATGACTCAATATTTTTAACCTAGTTCAATGCCAATGTTGGAGTTTTAATCCCAATTTAGTATTAGAGTTTTGTGGTTTTTAGCTCAACCCCTTTTTAGTTGATTCAATTTTAATTCTACTTGGTTTACCCGGTTTTTTATTGTTGCAAAATTTTTTTTGTTGCCTATGGCTCATTACAATGTTGTTGGTTGTGTTTGTTTGTGCAGTTATTGTTAGTGTTATGTTATCCTTTCATCACCATGTTATTTTGCTTTGTGTTGTCATGGTCGTTGTTTACTAGTACTAATTTTGGTGTGGTCGTAAAAATACTTATCTTGATTTTATCATCCTTATTGTCTTTGTGAAAATATTGTGGTCAACTCAATGATTTTCTTAAAAACCATTGGTGTGGTCCGCCTTTAGAAGCCTTTATTCCAAATTGGGCATTTTTTATCTCTATGATCCACCTTGAGGGAGATTGTTAGTGTGTTATTTTCTTATGGTTCTACTATCCTGTTATGTTACCTTCCAATTATGTCTCTTTCCTATTGTTCTATTTTGTTATTGCGTGATTTTTCTATTATATAATACTTTCCTAATCCAGTAATTGCTTTCAACATCAATCCGATATAAATAGGTAATGGGGTGTTGGTAACATAAACCCTACACACAATATTATTTCACTCTATTTCTTACTCTCTTCTTCTTTTCCTTAACCCTAACATTCGATTATTCAAGTTGGTCAAAACAACGGTCTCAACCTAAGGATCAAATTTTCGTTTCAAAATGTCATTCCCATTTTCATGGAGGTAAAATGAATATTAAATTGAAAGTTCAATGCTTCGAGATGTTTCGGCGTATTTCAACCAATATTTCATAATATCTCGAAATGTTTCAAGATATTTCAGTATATTTCAATTAATGTTTTGAAATGTGTTGGATATAAATATCCAAATTCTTTATTCATTTTTGTTTTGTTTCCAAAATATTGTTGTTTCCTAGGTGACACCAAAACGAAAATTTGATTCTTGGTCTCAACAAAGAAAATTGCATGTTGAAGCAAAAGATACAGTCACCAAAGCACCACTACAGAAGTGCTTTGCATTATATAGCCCAAGGGTGAATCTGTTGTAGCAATCTATAGTGTCTTCTGTTAAGAATATTATGGTAGTATGTGTAAATTGTTAATAGTAAGAGGGTGTATGTATAATTCTTATTATTGTGAATTAACTATAAATACAAATGATGTATAAGAGTTAGGTTAAATTGTGAACCTCTCTCTGTTTCTCTCTAATATTGTATTAATTCTCTACACTTAACATGGTATCAGAGCAATTATAATTCTAAATAAATTAAAAATAAAATAAAATTTTTTTTTTTTTTGAGATTAATGAGTTTGGTTATGGTGCTACCATCGTGGTGGTGGAAACCCTTGTGGTGGCCTCTATGGACGTTGGTGGTTGTTGTGTTGTCTGGTGTACTGGTGTCGTTCGTTGTGTTGTTGTGGTAGTGGCTTCTGTGGCACTGTTGGTGTCGATTGTGGCCTCTGTGGTGTTGAAGTTGTCATTGTCGTCGCTTGTGACACTGTTGTTTGTCGTTGTGGAGGTGTTGTCGTTCGTGGTGGTGGTGTGGTGTCGTTTGTCGTGGTGGTGTAGCTGTTAGGCGCCGCTGTCAAAGACCACGTGCAGATCTTCTAAAACCCTAATTAACGAGGAAGATAACATCCAGACCCGACTCCACGGGTTTGGATACAGACCAGACCTGATCCAACAAAAACAGATTGGGTCCAGCCCACGGTCTAGCCTGGACCGGTTCAATCCCGGTCCATCGTAGACCGGTCCAATCCCAATTTAAGTTTACTTGGTTCAGGCCGATTCTTTCAATTTGCTCCGGTTCAGCGGTTCAGTTGGTCTCTTCAGTCTGGTTCAGCGGTCCAGTTGGTCTCTTCAGTCCGATTCAACAGTCCAATTGGTTTCTTCAGTCCAGTTCAGTAATCTAGTTGGTTTCTTTAGTCCGGTTCAACAATTTTTGCACCGGTTCAACAATCCAGCAAGCCCAAACAGCACTGTTCAGTGGTCTAGTGAGCTCCTGTGGTCTGGTTCAGTCTTCCAGCATCCTCTTTTCTTCAGGTTCAACATTACAGCACTCCTTGTTTGCTATTTGCTACACTGTTATGGAACCCAAGCAAGATATCAGGTCCCTTACTCTATCTTTGCCTCCTCTTACTCTTATCAATGGTCTTATGACCTTTGTTAAACTCAATAGAACTAATTATACGTTATGGTCCCGGTCTATTCAAGTCTTTCTTCGAGGAAAAAGATTTAAAAAAAATATTTGGGGGATTCTAAACCCAAGAAAGATACACCTGCATATGATTAGTGGGAACAAAAGGACACTCAAATTATTTCTTTACTATTGAATAACATTGAGCCTAATATTAGTTCTACTCTGCTCTACGTTGACTCTGCCAAGGAGATATATGGAATTACTTGGCCACTATGTATTCTGGTACAGGTAATTTTACCCGAGCTTATGAGATGTGCAAGGAGTACTTTCGACTAGAATAGACTACTCTAAGTATTGAGGAATATTATTCTCACGTTTGGGGAGTTTGTGAGGAGATGAAAACCTACCATTCGTTTACTACAGATGCAGCAGTTTGGCAAAAGCAACATGAGTACATGAATGTTGTTAGATTTTTGATAGGATTGAAACCTGAATAAGGCTATTCGTTCTCAGATTTTGGGTGGTTCTAGTTTTCCTTCACTGCTTAAGGTTTTCTCTCGTATATAACATGCTACTTTGTCTACTGCAGGCATCGATCATGGTGTCTCCACTAATCGCTCAACTCATGTGGTTCCTAGTATCCATAGTGATGGTTATCGAGATAGTCGTGTTGGTCGAGGAGGTCGTACTGGAAGTCGTACGGGTGGTTGTGGGAGCCGTAATGGACCTCGTTTCTCTACTCACTATGGCCGTGGAGGACACACTGTTGATTTCTATTGAAATTTACATGGAAAACCTTCTGATACTACAAATCAGGCTTCCTATCAAGATGATACCTCTATTGTTGCTTCTGTACCTTGGTCATCTCCATCAGACACTGGGTCGGTTACTATTACACGAGTGGAGTATGCTCATTTTTTGTCCCAACAACAAGCTATCCTATCTCCCTCCACTACTATTTTTGCCCAGTCAGGTACTACTTCCACTTGTTTAATGCCCTCCACTCGCAGTCCCTGGATCATAGACTCTGGTGCGTCTGATGTTTATTCTACTTATCAGTCTGCTACTTCCACACGTAGTGTTATTCTTACTAATAATACTTGTTCTAAAGTTTTAGGCCTAAAAACTACTCACTTGAGTCCTGATATATCCCTATCTTCTGTGTTATTTATTCTTCAATTTCCTTTTAGTTTACTTTCTATTAGCAAGATTACTCGTTCTCTCAATTGTTCTGTAACATTTTATCCCTCTTATTGTGTATTTCAGGATCTTAAGACGAAGATAAAGATTGGTACGGGACATGAAGCTGGTGGCCTATATTACCTTGACTTTGATTCACCTAGCCGGGCTATACAGACCTCGTTGTCTCCTTTTCAATGGCATTGTCGTCTTGGACATCCCTCTCTCCAGAATTTGAAGCGCCAAGTTCCCAATCTTAGTTATATGTCGTCTTTGTCTTGTGAAGCTTGTCAACTTAGTAAGCATCACCGTATGTCATTTAAGTCTAGAGTCAATAATCATGTGTCTAGTCCATTTAAATTAGTACATTCTGATGTATGGGGTTCAATAAAGAATATTTTATCTAATAAATATCCTTATTTTGTGACATTTGTGGATAATTATTCTCATTTGACTTGGTTGTTTTTGATGAAAGTTCGATCTGAATTATTCTCTATATTTGAGACCTTTCGTAAGGGAATAAAAACTCAGTATAGTTGTCGTATACGTATTTTACATTTCGATAATGCTCAGGAATATGAATCTGATTCTTTATCAACTTATCTTATTAAAACTGGCATTATTCATCAAACTTCTTGTGCTTACACCTCTCCATAAAATAGTGTTGTTGAACGCAAGAACCGTCATTTGTTAGAAATCACCCGTGCCCTGTTATTCCATATGAATATTCCCTGATATTTTTAGAGTGATGTTGTTCTTACTACTTGTCACCTTATTAATCGTATGTCATCCTCTGTATTAAATGGGCAAAGTCCATATTCTGTCTTTTTTCTTGGTAAGCCCTTATTTTTCCTGACTCCTAAGATTTTTGAATGTGTCTGTTATGTTCACAATTTGGATCCTGGGTTTGACAAACTTTACCCTTGAGCTACCAAATGTGTATTTCTTAGTTACTCCCACACGCAGAAGAGGTATCGTTGCTACAGTCCTTCTCTGCGCTGATACTTTACTAGTGCCGATGTCACATTTGAGGAATCTGTTCCATATTTTTCAGCACCTCCTCAACCTTTAGACCTGGACTTTGGATCATTTCCTGTACCACCATCTCTTTCCACATTTTCAGATATTCCGCTGCCCACTGTGTTACCATCTACTTTGCCTCTCTGTGTCTACTCTTGACGTCTTCACCCATCGACTGAGCTGCCCGTACCGTCTTCCTTGCCGTCTTCCAATCCTGGTACATCAAATAATTTAGACTCTTTACCTATTGCTCTTTGAAAAGGTACTCGTTCATGTATTACATCATCCCGTTACTCATTTTGATTCATATGATGTTTTGTCTCCTGTCTTCTCTTGTTTTACTTTTCAATTATCTACTGTATCTATTCTTAAACATTTACAGGATGTATTATCTGATCCGAGTTAGAGAAAAACTATGAAGAAGGAGATAGATATTTTACATCATAATAGAATTTGGGATGTCGTTCCTTTACCTCCAGGTAAATAAATTGTTAGTTGTCGTTGGGTGTATACTGTTAAATTTCATCCAGATGGTTCTGTGGAGCGTCTCAAAGCCCGGCTTGTTGCAAAAGACTTTACTCAAACTTATAGTGTTGATTATGAGGAGACATTCTCTCCTGTTGCCAAAATTTCCTCTATTCGTATCTTGATTTCTTTGGCTGCTAATCTTAATTGGCCCTTGTTTCAGTTAGACATCAAGAATGCCTTCGTACATGGTGACTTGATTGAAGAGGTACACATGGAGCAGCCACCTAAGTATACTACTCAACGAGAGTATGGTAAGAGTGTATGCCAGTTAAAAAATCTTTGTATAATTTGAAGCAGTCACCGAGGACATGGTTTGATAAGTTTTCAGATGCAGTTTTAGAGTTTGGTCTTCTTCAATGTCAGACAGATCATTCTGTGTTTCATAGACAGACAGATGTTGGATATGTTCTATTGGTGGTCTATGTAGATGATATTGTGATTACTAGAAATAATTCTGAAGGAATTGTCAAGTTAAAAATATTCTTGCAGGATCGATTTCATACTAAGGATTTGAAAAAACTCAAGTATTTCTTGGATATTGAGGTGGCTTGATCTAAACAAGGTATTTGTTTATCCCAAAGGAAATATATATTTGACATGCTAGAGAAAGCAAGTTTGTTGGGTAGCAAACCTATTGATGTTCCTATGGATCCGAATCAAAGATTTTTGATGGATGATGGTGCACTGTTTGAGAATCCGGGTCGGTATCGTAAATTGGTTGGGAAGCTCAATTATCTTACTATTATTCGACCGGATATTTCCTATGTAATCAGTATAGTAAGTAAGTTCATGGGGTGCCCTAAAGTACCACATTGGAAGGCAGTTACTCGTATTCTGCAATATCTCAAACGTGTTCCTAGATTTGGACTGTTATATCGAGCTAATGGACATCTTAGAGTGGAAGGTTTCTTAGATGCTGATTGGGCTAGCTCTCCTTCTGATCGAAGATCAACCACTTGTTATTGTACTTTCTTAAGAGGTAACGTTGTCTCATGAAAAAGTAAGAAACAATTTGTGGTAGCAAGATCTAGTGTTGAGGCTAAGTATAGGACAATGGCGCATACAACAAGTGAGTTAACTTGGCTACTACACTTCCTCCAGGAAATTGGGTTTCCAGTTCACCTTCCTTTACAGTTGTTCTGTGACAACCAGGCAGCTATCCATATCGTTGTCAATCCGGTGTTTCACGAGAGAACCATACATATTGAGGTTGATTGTCACTTTATTTGGGACAAGATAATAGCTAGGGAGATTACAACTCCATTTGTGAAATTAGAAGATCAGCTTGCAGATATGTTTACCAAAACATTGAGTCGTATACGTCTTACAGCGATTTGTTTCAAGTTTGGATTATATAATATATATAGTCCAGCTTGAGGGGGAGTGTTAAGAATATTAGAGTAGTATGTGTAAATTGTTAATAGTAAGAGGGTGTATGTGTAATTCTTATTATTGTGAGTTAACTATAAATACAAGTGATGTATGAGAGTTAGGTTAAGTTGTCAACCTCTCTTTGCTTCTCTCTAATATTGTGTTAATTCTCTACACTTAACATCTTCCAACTTCCAATTGCAATCTTTTCATAATGGTGCACCATAAGCAAAAGACAATACAGGTTTACAGACTCTACACGGTGCAATATCCAGGAAGTTATTGTTTACTTTATGTTGAAGTTATAACATGTTCTTCACCCAACTATATCATCGGTTTCTTCTTTACTTAACGCTTCTACAGCCACCACTGTCACCGAGTCCCCTCTAGTTCTACCTAAAAGATTTAGACTTTTTTCCTACTTAATGATGGAGCAGGGAAGGTCCTTTCTTCTAAGTGAGCAGATTTGGGGCTAAATGGATTTGCTTGTGAAAAATGTTTCTTCGCATATTTATTCATTCTGTGGTGATACATTTCTTTTCCAGCCTATTTAATTTAAAATTTTAAGCTCAACATTTTCACCTATTTGATCTTAAAAAAAAAAGTGAATGCCTGTTTTTTTCCTTGAAGAGTAAATATTAAAAAAAGCTTTCCAGGGAGTGTTTTGTGCATATATGACTAGCAGACTCGACACAATGACCTTTCAAAATGATTTGGGAGCTTTTGCTTGACAATGAGACCTTCCCATAACGTTTGAAATTCCAGCAACCTGGAGTGATCTACTCCATCAAGTTTTCTTAAAAGCTTGGGAGCTGCTTTGGATCATCTGAGATTGGGTTTTATTCAATAATTACCAATGTATTATGAAGGACATATCTCATTTGCCAAATCTAGAATGTCAACGTTACTCCTCGTGAGCTACCAACTGCAAGTTTTGGGACTTCCTCTTTTTTGTTTTTTGTGCTACCTCCATGCTAAGACACATTTTTTCAGTTTAACAGTACATCCATGCCAAGACATTGTTTTAGTTTAAAGATAACCCATGCCACTTGCACTTATGTCAGGAGAAGGAAAAGTAAGAGCTTCTCAGAGGGTCACTTGGATATGAACGCATCGACTGTTATGATAATTTTACAAAAAACATCTTCCTTCTCACACTGTTGTCTGCCTTCTTTAGAGTTGTCCTAACTACTACAAATCACCGATATCTTTATTAAGCTTCTTACCTTCAATTAAAAAGTTCCTTTTCTTGTCAGAGTAAAATGACACCATGAATATTTTCAAGAGCTTTTTTTCTACCCAGACAAAAAGATATCAGCAGTTATATAAAATATGAACAGGATAAGGTTCAAACTCCTTAAGAGTCAGAGCCAACCAGATAATCAGACACGCCTCTCTCATAAAGCTTCTCAATAGCAGGAAAATCCTCAGACCTGCAAAATTAAATCAGAGAAACAAAACCCAAAGTAAAAACTATTATATCAGTGTAATAGTAAAATAGTGAGAAACAATTAACTCTAAACTACACATAAAAAGGACCTGATGACATTAAACGTGGATTTCAATTATTTCGCTAAATGCTATGGCAATGGAGCTGAAAAGGATATTGCAATGCAACGATTAGAAAAAAATATTCAACAACCACCTTAGTCAAACACTGTCCCAAGATTTCCAAAACCATTTATTTCAGAGATGGTCGCTCTGAAGCCAAAAGGAAAAGCAAGATATCGTAGACAAATTGACCAAATAGATATATAACTAAAATCAAAATCAATTTGAAGCCTAAGGGTTTTAAATGGCAATTTGACTAGGATTGCACAGTTATAAAATGAGTAGCCGAACTTATAGAGTTATCATCGCTAAATGATACTCCATCTGAAAAGGGGAGCAGATGTATCTGGGATGTGTATAGGACACTAACAAGACAAAAAAGAACATTCAACTAAGATCAACCTGATAAAGCCAGAAAACTGATGCATGAGTTCTAGAAAAGCATCCTTCCCTGTCTAAAAGCTGTTAGGTCCATGTTCTAACTGTTAACAAATAACAACACGAGTTCTCTGGCGTAAGAAGGAATTCATGAGTAACATGGTTCTTGAACTAGACTTGAAAGAGAATGAGATACACCAGAGTGCCAGAAAGCTTGGTGAAGACAGCTGTGAGAAGGCGCCATGACCTAATCTAGTTCAAAGGTGTTTCAAGTGTGAGCACTAGCAGTCCATAACTGGGTCTTGCTAACGACCATATAGAGATAGGATGAACCAATAGCCTAGACTAGTTAATAACTTCCCCTTTTTTCTCCACCTCCAACTGTTTGTAGATACTTGTGGGTATCCTTACCACTGTCCAAATCAAAATCCACAACAAAGTGGTAGATTAGTATATTTCGTCAAAGGGGTTCCCAGACAAGTAGAGTACCCCTCTCAATGCACAACACACTTAAGAGAGCAATTTTATTTGACCACCATTTTTACATCACAATAACACCTACAACAATTGAGATGAAACACTGAAGGCAACCCTGTCGCTCTACAAGAATACGGAAGTCAACTTCAAGTGTTGAAGGTGTTGGAAGATTCATGCTACACGAAATAGCATACCATTTTCTATTGTTTTTCTATAAGGTCCAAAACATGACTCTTGAGAATCATTTACTGCAAGATCATTTTGATCACAAAGTAGTCCCGTACCTGTTACCCTGCACCAGATTGAACTGATTCGGATATCTCCCAGTGAACATCTCAAAATTAACAAGGGCATTTCCACTTTGAAGACACCAAACCATTCTTCCACACAGGAAGCTCAAAACTTGAAATAAAGAAACCCCATATATAAACCATTATATATCATGTAGGCACAGAGATATATACACTAGGCATTTGCTTACAACCAGAATAGGGTGCATAACCAATGATTGAAACAAGGAAGAGCAATACATGGTGATGTAATACAATACAGTACATACCGAGAGCTAAGCGAAGCCTCGTCTTTAGCCCACTCCTGCCACATTTCAGGACTCAACGGGAACAGCTCACTCATCGCCTCCCTCGCTTTTCTCAACTTCTCTAGGTCCCCTTGCTTCCTCAGTGCTTTTATATACTGCACAACAACAAAATAGACAGCAAAACATTTATATCCAACAAATCAGCACAAAACCAACAACTAATTTACAACACTCACAAATATACATTTGATAAAACACACACACACACAAATAGTATATAAACAGGGACGAGAGAGAGAGAGGAGTGAGTACTTGGACATAAGCATCGTAGTTTAAGGGGTTATTGGAGAGTTCCGATTCTAGGGTTTGTATTTGGAGGTTCTGCTGTGCTTCGTCTTCGAAGTCAGAGTCGGAGTCAGAATCGGAGTCAGAAGGGCTTTTAGGGTTTTGAATATCTGGCATGGGTTGGTCTGCTTCTGTGCCATTGGTAATAGTGGCTTCTTCTCTGTGTGGTGGTGCGTCTGATGAATCTACGTTTCCAGTTTCCGCCATTTTTCAGAAGCTCTCCGCTGGATCGGTGCCTTAACAAGGGAGTGTCTTGTTTCTCGAGCGATGCTACAAAAACCAAAACTCACAAATTATAACTCAAATAAACGCCATCTTTTAGATGAATAGACTTTCCAACTTTTTCAGTTGGATCCACGTATTTAACCGCCGTTTCAGAAATATTACGTATTATTTGAGTTTGAACTTTTAAATTTTTATTAAAATTGTGTCCGATTTCCTTGTTTGGAAGGAAGGAAAATTCCTGTCAAAAAAGAAAGAGAAGAAAAATGCAAATGCTACTTAACCCATATACAACTCAAAAATTATAATTTAAATACATATCAACTCTTTGAGGATAATTTTTTTTGAAAAAATTAATAAGACGCACTTATCCAAGAGATGATATATATTTATATTATAAATTTTTAAATTTTATTTGAATTGTGTATCATTACTCATGATAAAAATAAGTTATCTTTTTTTTTTAGTAATGCTTGCTCAACTTGTATCCAAAATTTTTCTCAACTTGTATCACGAAATTTTTTTACTATAGTGTGTCCACACTTGCATCAACTATTCTTTCAAACTCAACACCTAGTCACTCTGGCTTGAGTTGGGCATGACCCTAAAGAAACAATGGTAGCTAACTCTTAGTGTGGGAATAAATTAAGGAAGAATTACACTTAGATCTCTGAAATTTGTCACTTAATCACTCAGACTCTTTGACATTTAAAATATTACGCACATACCCCCTGAGGTTTGTACACGCGTAACAAATAGACCCCTGTTATAAATATATTAGTTAATAAATTATACTTTGACCCCCTAAAGATTGTAAGTATATAATACTTAAACCCTTTAAGTTTAAAATCTTACACTTAGATCAAAAATACTCTAGTGAAAGATAAAATATCAAATATTTTAAATTTTACAATCAAAATTCATGTTCTATTGTATCATTTATTGAAATAAAATTAAAAATAAAAATTCAATTTTTTCTTTAAAAAATGTAATTAATATACAATTATATTGTCTATTTGAAATTAATTTGGTCGTTTAAAATATCAAACTACCTCAATTAAAGCTATAAGATATTGTATCTGTTACAGATTGACTCATTGTTTAATTTTTTAGTTTTATTCTAATAGATAGTATAATTATATACTAACTATGATTTTTTTAAAAAATTAAATTTTTATTTTTGATTTTATTTTAATAAATGACATAATAGAACATGAATTTTGGATGTAAAATTCATGATCTATTATGAATGACTTAGACCCATTGTTTGATTTTTTTTTAGTTCTATTCCAATAAATAATATAATTGTGTACTAATTATGATTTTTTAAGAAAAAATTAAAATTTTATTTCAATAAATGATACAATAGAATATGAATTTTGATTATAAAATTTAAAATATTTGATTGGAGTATTTTTGGTATAAGTACAATATTTTAAACTTAAAGAGTCTAAGTATTATATATCTACAGACTTCATGGGGGTCTAAGTATAATTTATTAACTGATATATTTACAACATAAATCTAATTGTTATGCGCGTAACAACCTCAGGGGATCTGTGTGTAATATTTTAAATATTAGGGGAGTTGAGTGATTAAGTAACAAACTTCAGGGATCTGGGTGTAGTTCTCCCATAAATTAAATCTAAGACTTCTAAATTATCAAAGGTCAGGCTCAACCATTGTACTACCTTTAATAGGTTGAGTTGTCACCTTCACACACCTCACATTTTTATAAAAAATCTGATTTATTGAGGAGCAATGCTATGTTTACCAAATTTTATATCCCAAATTAGTGTGGGTGATTGAATCAGTGGGATCTATTAACTCCACCAAATATTCAATGTATAAAATTGTGACACATCATTTAAAATACAAGATTTAATAAACAAATTTGAGCAATATAGTTTTATTCTTTATTGAGGCCCATATTGTGGTTGCGAATGTGTCAATTCATTTGGAATGAGTTTTTTGAAATACAAGTTTAGCAATATAGTATTACTCTTTTATTTCAGTAAAAAATAAGTGGAGTCAAAAACAAAATAAAGGAAAATAAGTTCTGAGTGTGAGTGAGTAAAAAGGTTAGTGATTGACCTAATAGCCAGCGTTATCGCATGCGGATATAAAGGTTTGTCGCATGCGGATATAAAGATTTGTCTGTTATTATAGTTCCTGATTTTTTACACATTTGCTTGAAGTTTCTCCAATGCTCCGTTTGGTACGATGAAAAAGTGGAAGAATGAAAAGTTGGAAGGATATAAAGTTGAAAGGATAAATAAAACATCATGTTTGGTAAGGAAGGAAAGTAGGAAGAAAAAGTGTATGTATTAACTTTCCTTCCAACTCACCAAAATCAATCCCTCCAAAATTGGAAGAAAAATGGATGAAAAATTAATTATTTATGTTGAGATGTATCTTATTTGTCTATATATTTTTTTATGTATACATATATTATATATACATTAATTTCATATAAAAATACAATGGTAAAATATGTGTGTGTGTATATATATATTTTAAAAAATTTTAATTTTAAAAATAAAATTAAAAAATTAAAAAATTAAAAAAAATTAAAATTAAAATTTTAAATTAAAAAAATATTTTTTCCATTTTAACTAAGGGTGAAAATTTTTGACTTAACACAATGACACGATTCGAACTCGATACGAAAATAAACATGTCAACTCACTACTCAACACGACACAATTAGTTAAATGAGTTAAGTTAGATTTGACTAATATTTGACACAAACCCGTAATAACTCAACACAAATCTGACACGACACGACTCGATTGTCACCCCTAATCTTAGCCAGCAAAAAAAAATAGTCATTTTTATTTTTCATCCATCCAACCAAACACAAATGAAGGAAAGTGTATCCTTCCTATTTTCTATCCTTGAAGGATAGAAAATGTATCCCTCCTACTTTCTATCCTTCCAACTTTCCATCCTCCCTATCAAACGGAGCACAAATGAATTATGTCCGTATAAGAATAGACCTCAATCTCTTTTTGTTTTTGTATTGGTGTTTTAAGACAATATTTGAATTTGTGTTAGGCTGGTCATATCAATTTTTAGTTAATCATGTCACTAATTTGGCTAGTTATTATCTCATTGTATTAAGTTGACCAACATAACTCATGACATACCCAAAAAAAAAATGAACACGCTTTCTTTAAACAATATCAATTAAACAAGTATGTCATTCTGAAATCTGATTATCTATCTTTAATACTAATTATTCATTTATTATTGATGTTAACAAGTCGTGTTATTTTCAAGTTCATGTCAAAATTTAGTTAACTATTATCCACTAATTTCATTTTGGCATCACGTTGTATCAACATGTCATGTCAAAAATTGGCATCTTTACACATACACATAAAAAGTTCCATCATGACGAGTTGGACGAAGTATTGTTCGGGCTCGATTCGTTTATCAAACAAATTTAAAATTGGGATCATGCTTGATTTACTTTCTAAATAAATAAACTTGAACGAGTTTATCTATATTAGAGTGTCAAACTCAAAACCAATTGACAATGAGTGAAATAACCTTAAGTATACAATCCTGAGTTATCCTAATAATTTATTGTGTGATATAAGCTCTCTTCACTTTTGCAACTTTACAAAACAAAGAATGGGATTAATATAAGACTAGCCCAAGTAATACTCAATAGCTTCATTGGGTGAACGAACCTGCAGTTTCTCATCAGTCATGTGTTTTATTCCTTATAATCGGAAGGGATAGTTTTCAATGGGATCTTTATCATCATATGAAAATGTTCAAGGTTGTACCAGAATCGTTGATTAGGGCTTCATTTTCTACTTTATTACAATTGTTGGAGACCATACAGAATCTAAGCAGAGTCGAGAAACACCGATGACAGCCTCAGGCCAATAGTTTGTAGAGCTAACAAAACATGACATGTGAAAGCCACTCAAACTTTCACCCCCCCCTTAATTTAGACGATGACTTACGAACCTATGATGGCATAGAAATGAGCCCCCACCCTAGTCTAAGAGGTTGCCATTGAGCTTTTACCCAAACTCAGTCGATTTGGAGAACTTATACCCAAAATTTGGTGGTTTTGAAAATAATTTTCGAACTCAATTTTTTTAAAAAGGTTAGTCCAACAAACGTTTGTAAATAAAAAAACATCAGTTTTAATACGAGTTTAATCACTGTTTATCAATGTAAAACGTTAGTTGCACCAATGTCTTTGTAAAAACATTTTCTTCACTAACATTTTTTACGTTTAATTAAATCCTAGCCTTCCATTTTCTACTTTCAAAGCCATTCAATTTTTAGAATGAGTTATCAAAATTGATTGAGTTTGGGTAAAAGCTCGGTTGACATATCTTCATCAATGCGGATTGATGGGAAGGATATAGGTTCCTAGCATCATGTCATGACAATCTTGTTAGCTCATCCTCTTCTTTATTGTACAACAATTGGATTTCACACTGCTTCACTAGAAAATCCTCCGCCATAACCACTGAAATTGAAACACCTCGTCACCACCATGAAACTAATTTTCAAATTTCAAAAGTCTAATCGTAGTATATATTCATTTTATTCAGCCACACCATAGAATGTTGGGCAATAAGTGCATCCAATTTAAACTCTTGGTTCTATTAGGCACTGTTTGATAATTCTTTTCAAAAGTATTTTTTTTTATTGTTTTGCTTTTTTTAGGAAAAAGGGAAAAAAAGTAGTGTTTGGTTTTGCACCAAAAAAAGACCTTTTAAAAAAGTAAAATATAAATATAATATTTTTTTTTCTAAAAGCAAAAAAAATTGCTTTTTAGAAGCAAATAACATACTTAATGATGAGTCCAGATTTAGTTGGGTCCAAGCCCAATTAATTAGATAGGCTCAATTAATGAAATAGGCCCAAATTAGTTAAAAGGAAGGTCAAGCCCAGTTCATAAAGTTCAGGCTAGTCCAAAGATCAAGGAATCCAAGAATATTAGAACACGTGGG